ATGCTGGACTAGAGGAACCATTGGCCTGATCCAGCAGGGCTCTTCTCATGTTCTTATGTCATGGTCAACAGAAACAATATTGGATAGAGTGGCTGACAGTTTTAAAAAGCTGTTTTGAATTCAAGCATCTTGGAAATGATCAGAGCTGGGACCTTTCTGCCCCCTGGTGTCCAGAGCTAGAATTGCATCTACATGTTACAAATCCATCTAGCCGGAAAGGAGGTTTATAAATGTGCATTTGAACAAGTGCGGGCTGGGGAAGAGTGCATTTGGTAACTCCAGTAAGCACAGGCAAAAACTGGTTCCAGATGAAGCTGCAGGACAGGGATTCTCCCCAAATCCAGAGGAACAGGTTTGCCGTCAGCTTCTCAAAGCGGGGGTGTGGGGGTTGCCAGCCTCCAGGGGGGGCCTGGAGATCTCCCGCTTTTACAACTGGCCTCCAGCTGAGAGAGATCAGCTCCCCTGGAGAAAATGGCGGCTCTGAAGGGTGGACTCTATATGGCATTGTACCCTGCCGAGGCCCCTCCCCTCCTCAAACCCCACCCTCTCCCGGATCCACCCCCAAAGTCTCTAGGTATCTTCCAACCCAGACCTGGCAACCCTAGGGTGGTGGTTCTGTTGAGAGAGTCTAGGAAGAGTGTCTGACTGCAGTTGTAGCCATGTCTAAAAAGCAGGGCAAGGGTGAATCCAAAAGAGCTACCGTAGTTTAGATGGCTTTCCAAAGGGATTAGACACATTCATGAAATGTAAAGTCTACCTGTACGCACACATGAAGCTGCCTTGTCTTTGGTCCGTGAAGGTCCGTATTGTCTACTCAGCCACTTTCCAGGGTCTCAGGCGGAGGTCTGTCACATCGCCTGCTGCCTGGTCCGTTTAACTGAACAGGCCGGGGATTGAACCTGGGACCTTCTGCCTGCCAAGCAGAGGCTCTTCCCCTTAGCCACACAGCCCCTCCCCACTTATGGCTAAATGGAATCTCCATGTTCAGAGGTAGCATACTTGTGTACACACAGACACAGGAGGCCTACGGGTGGCTCAGAGTAATGTTTGACTTTTTCTCTCCTTTCCAACTCTGTAATGAAGAAGAAGAAGAAGAAGAAGAAGAGAAGAAGAGATTGGATTTATATCCCGCCCTTCACTTGGAGTCTCAGAGCGGTTTACAAACTCCTTTCCCTTCCCCTCCCCACAACAGACACCCTGTGAGGTGGGTGGGGCTGAGAGAACTCTGACACAAACTGCTCTTTTTCAAGGACAGCTGTGCCAGAGCTTGTGACTGACCCAAGGTCACATCAGCAGGTGCAAGTGGAGGAGTGGGGAATCAAACCCGGTTCTCCCAGATTAGAGTCCGCACACTTAACCACTACACCAAACTGGCTCTGAAGCTGGTTAAGAGGTGGTATCACATGGCCCCTTGGGCCAGCAGGTTGGAAGAGAACCCCCGGTGGAGGGCTCCAAAGAAGAATGTTGTAAAATCCCATGGAGGAGGAGCATTGTATAGCAAGCAGCGCCAGAGACGCTTTCAACAGCTAAGGTTTAGATCGATCTGAACTTCTATGGAAGTTGTAGAGAGATGAGTAAGAAGAGCCCTGCTGGATC